TGCTTTGCTTCCTGTGTGACATTATAAAACTACAGTTTGAGAAGTACAATAGTGTGGGTGTATCCACACCTCTATGAGTCTATGCATAACCAATGTCCCTTTATTTGAAGATGATGCTATTAAGGCCGATTTTCATCTGTGTGTTTTTTTTTTTTTTTTTTGATGTTGCTAAAGACTCATGTATCACTCATCTCCAGCAGTCATTTTGCTCTTCCAATTTGCGCTGTTGAGTGATGCTGTGGTGCTCAGTCTGCTGTTTTTGCTTAGAAAGAGCCACCCGATTGCTGAAGATTCCTCCCTGGAGTTGATTTACCAGCTTTGTTGCTTTCAGCGCTCTGTCATCGTGTTATTCCACTTTTAATTTTTCAGCCTACCTTTAAGTCCTTCCTCCTGACTAAGACTTACTGTTAGTACACCTTGGTTTATGCAGATACACATTTAAAAGGCTGTTTTATTGAAATATCAGTGAGCAGCAACTCTTCTATATGGATAAAAATGAATGATTACAGTAAAATCACAAAATAGTAAAATTAGCAGCACTGCATTAAGCAACTGCTCTACAGGAGACAGAACAGTCTCTTTGCTATGCAATCAGTAACATTTATTTAGGCAAATATTTTGTATACTGTGTGAACTCTTATGTACTCCTGAAGTCCCTGGTTGTAAGTTTGAATGATTCTGCTGTAACATCTTTTCAATTCCCATGTAATGCTTCTTAGAAACTCAGAATGTGTAAGTGCCGGAAAATTTACAACAGGAGGCAACTCAGTAAAATTACTTGGGAAACTGAGTATCTACTAATTTCTAGGTACTCCTGTTAGGTGTAGGGTGAAAAGAGTTAAAGAGGACATATTTCCCCCCTTGACTCAGCTCACAGTAGGGTGGGGGACCAGTCAGGTAGGTACACACAGCTCAAGCGGACCAACAGCAGAAGACTGGGCAAGGTATAGGCAGCGGCTGACACTCAGTCATGTCTGACTCTTTGCAATCCCATGGACTGTAGACTGCCAGGCTCCTCTGTTCATGGAATTCTCTAGGCAAGAATACTGGAGTGGGTTGCCATTCCCTTCTCCAGGGGATCTTCCTGACCCAGGGATCAAACCTAAGTCTCCTGCATTGCAGGCAGATTCTTTACCATCTGAACCACCAGGGAATCCCGGAGATAGTGGGACTGGGGGAGATTAATTAACTTTGTGGTATGGGAAGGAGTAAGTATGTCAGGGAAGCCTTCCAAAAGATGGCTTTTAAAGATCAACTTGAATTCCATCAGGCAGAAAAGAGGGGAGAATATTCCAAAAAGTGAGAACAGATGACAAAGGTGCAGAGGAATAAAGCAATATGCCACATGTGGGGAATTCCAAACAGTGAGATATTGCTGAGCCTAGAGTCCTTGTGGGGAACGGAAGGAGATTAAATGTCACCTGGACAGTGATTGTGTTTTCAACATGCAGAGTGGCCCAACCTAAATAATAAAGACAGTTTATAAGATAAAGTATATCTTTTCTTTTGAGACCATTTTCCATTTCAGTGATTCACCATTTTGAGTAGTGATTGTTAACAAGCAATAAAAACTTACCTTGTTAATCATAGGAGAGCAATCAGGATCCAGTTTATTTTATGAAAGGAACTAACCATGTTTCTCTTTAGCTGGGATAACTCTTAGGTGCTTTACAAAACCTCTCATCTTGTAAGTTTCTTTGTTGTGGGTTAAAAGAGAGATTGGAGACAGCTTTGTAGCCTATTGAAACAAAGTATGCCCTCAACAAACAGTCAAGTCTATCAGACACTGGATACATTTGAAGCACATCATAAAAAATACACAGTTTTCTGAATTTGTTATAAGTTCTGCTGAATCTGTCACATTTGATAAATTGTTTACAAATGACTATTTGTGAACATTTGTATGGATGAGGAAGCTGTGGTACATATACACCATGGAATATTACTCAGCCATTAAAAAGAATTCATTTGAATCAGTTCTAATGAGATGGATGAAACTGGAGCCCATTATACAGAGCGAAGTAAGCCAGAAAGATAAAGACCATTACAGTATACTAACACATATATATGGAATTTAGAAAGATGGTAACGATAACCCTATATGAATTCACGATGTTTTTTATTTAGCTCTGTAAAAAGAATATTATAATGCTAACTACCAGTAACTATTAGGTGAAGAATACATCCTTTGAGCAGTTCAGTGCTTGGCATGTGGTAGAGTAGCACTTAATAAATGTTTGTTGAGTCAAAGAAAAAATTATTAATGGCTTCTAATCAAGGCCTTTGATTCTTCAGCAATTAAATATCTTTATTGTCATTTTTTACTTTACGGAGAAATGCTGACCAATATGATTTAAGTCACATACATAATTTTATGTTTTTCAGTATCCACATTTGAAAAAGTAAAAATAAACAGCTGAAATTAATATTAATAATATATTTTATTTAGCCCATGTCAATATATTATGATTCTAATATATAATCAATATAAAATCTATTAAAGTGATACCTTACACTTTTTTCCCTAAGTATTTAAAAATCAGCATGCATTTTATATTCAGAGCACATCTCAATCCAGATGATAAATTTTCTAAATTTATCTAAAACTGTATTTAGATTTCAGAATATTTATAGTTGAAAAGATCGATTTATGTACCCAAGTTTTACCCAACATAATTTAAAATTTTCCAATAACTGAATCAAGTGTTAGTCTTCAAATTATTTGAAGTGATATCAAATGAACAAGTCAGTTCCTCAGTCACAGGGGCAACCAGCCAAGAGCTCAGTAGATGCCTGTAGTTAGTACCTGCTGTATACAACAGTGTAGTTCTAGAGAATTCTGCTCCATAGAGCTGCTGGAAAACAGTGCTTATTCAGCACATTTCAGTGTGGGTTTAGCACCTCATATATATTTTAAATTTTTCTTTGTTTTTGCATTATTTCAATTTTTTTTTCTGAAACCTGTATTACCCTAACACCTTAGAGGTTAGAAATCTCTATATTAAACATGACCCATTTAGTTAACAATCCGAAGGAAAATTACTAAAATCCTTAAGATATTGCTTTGGTCATTTCTTCATAGTCACTGGCACAAGAAGCTACATATAGTGACACAAAAAAATATGCTTATGAGCATTCTCACTATGGCTAAACAGTCCTAAACTAAGGACTATGGAGAAACAGTTTTCATTCAGTCACAGTACTGCCTCATGCTAGTTTAGGGGGGGTGAGCTCACATAGTAGTACACACTTAATTTTGTAGTTGTTTTTCAGTCACTAAGTCATGTCTAACTCTTTGTGACCCCATGGACTGCAGCACACCAGGCTCCTCTGTCCAACACTATCTCTGGGAGTTTACTCAAACTCATGTCCATTGAGTCGGTGATGCCATCCAACCATCTCATCCTCTGTCATTCCCTTCTCCTCCTGACCTCAATCTTTCCCAGCATCAGGGACTTTTCAAATGAGTCACTTCTTTGCATCAGGTGGCCAAAGTATTGGAGCTTTAGCTTCAGCATCAGTTCTTCCAGTGAATATTCAGGACTGATTTCCTTTACGATGGACTGGTTTGATTTCCTTGCAGTCCAGGTGGCTCTCAAGAGTCTTATCCAACACCACAGTTCAAAAACATCAGTTCTATGGTGCTCAGCCTTCTTTATGGTCCAACTCTCACATCTGTACATGACTACTGGAAAAACCATAGCTTTAACTATACAGACTTTTGTCAGGAAAGTGATGTCTTTTAAAAGACAAAATGTCTTTTTTCTAACCCAAGTAAAGTGAAATTTATGTACCAAGCCTAAAATTGTGGGTATGAATAGGATTGTTTGAACGCCATTTTTGGATAGAGTTGTTTCTAGTCTATTTTGTTAACCATAATTACAGATTTGAGTTATCCATCTAGTAACAACTGTCTTTGAATATAGTTCCATTGCTACAAAGCCATCTTTATGGGTTGATTTTAAAAATAAGTATCCTTCATTATTAGTATGGAATATTCAGTAAGTTTCAACATGTGAGCACAGTGTAGCAAATATAGCTAAGGGATTTACTGAAGACTTTTAAAATAGTTTTAATTAAAACATTTTTTATTGAAGTATAGTTGATTTACACTGTCGTGTTAATTTCTGCTGTACAATGAAGTGAATCAGCCATATGTATACATATATCCCTTTCCTCTTGAACCTCCCTCCCCTCTCCATCCCACCCACCTCGGTCATTACAGAGCACCCAGCTGAGTTCCTGCACTATGCAGGACATTCCCACTAAGTAGCACACATGGCAATGCATGTACATCCATCCCAATCTCCCAGTTCACCCCCCCACCATGTTCACACATCCACCCTCCACATCTGCATCTCCCTTCCTGCCCCAGGTTCATCTGTACCATTTTCCCAGATTCCACATGCATGCATTAATATACGATATTTGTTTTTCTCCGTGTGACTTACTTCACTCTGTGTGACAGACTCTAGGTCCATCCATGTCTCTATGAATGACTCAGTCTCACTCCTTTTTATGGCTGAGTAACAGCCCATTGGAAGGAAGATGTAGCATATACATACAATGGAATATTACCCAAGACTTTGAATGTGTATGTCAACATTTTAGAAGCTATTAGGCCAGAATCCTGGGCACTCCTTTGAGCTCTGTCTCTAATTAGCCATCGTATCTCAGAGGTATAATGACCTTACAGGGTCAGGGGAGGGCTGTTGATCTTTTGACCACTGAAAAGATTGAACTGTACCATATATTCCAGTTATTTATTTTTTTTCTGTACACCATTAACCTGGTGCATCCATGGTTTTGAATAAGCCAGTTGAGTGGAATTTTGTAAAATGGGAAGAAATATGCCTGTCTGGGTCACCATACGGATAGATAACATGTGAGGGGACACAGAAAAAACAACATCCAAGCTACCAGTTCAGGGACCGATTCATATTCCAATGAGGCTGAACGCCCTTTCACAGATGCTTGTTTCCGCTCATGTTAACAGGGTACTATTGCCACATAAGGTACTCTTGAGTGGCTGCACCCAGGATTTTGTAGCAGTGGCTGTAGTTGATCAGAAAAGTACAAGCTTGTACCCGGGCAACTTCAGTACATCTTGATGATTCAGGACCTCTGCAGAAGGACTGAGAAAGCTTGGCATTCTCAATTGCACACCATTTTTTAGCATGCAGCCTTGTAGTTCTGAAGCCTGTACTCTGTTTGTGGAATGGTGATGAACGCCTAACGGATCTTGTGACTTTTTTACTGGCTTTATGAAATTGAGATGTGTCTACAATAAAATGTTCAAGAAATAAATACATAGATGATGGTCTAGAAGTCAATTTATATGCTGGGTGAGATTTTTTTCCTCAGAGGACCCCCGTGTCTGCTATTTTTAAGTTTTTTGCACCATGTTTTAAGGGTCAAGTGTTAAGTTTTCGGAAACAACCTTTAATGAGTCAGGATAAAAGCCATCTGGTGCAAATGGATGAACTTCAGGAGAAAGGAGGAATTTCCCATCATCTTAAGATTCCCAATGGGTTTGAGAAAGTAGCTCAAAAATGGGATTTATCCCCTTCTATCTTCTGCTCCTTTTATCTTCCAATCATGAAAGAATGTGAAAAAAACATACTGGACAGACGAGGAATAGGGAAATGGTATGGTTTTTGTCCTAGAGGCTGACTGTGCAAAATGTAAGCTTTCAAATTAGATAAAAGAAGCAGCATTGCTTTTTAGGGGGCTAATGGGCCCTGGGTAACGCATTACAGAGGTGGGTCTGCACGATGTAAGAAGTGGCAGGTGGGTGGCCGGGTGATAAAACCACCTGGAGGAGGTAGGACAGGACAAATCAGAGCCAGCTCTCCGCCCTCCCTAAACAAGCTCGCCTAAGTGACACTTCCTTGCGTCCCAGGAAGTGACGATCAGCCAGAGGAGACGTCCTCACTCCCGGGTCTCAGCCACTCCGGGGGTGCCGCGGTGGGCGCCTGGCGACCTCTTTCGCCGGCCGGGCTCCCTAGGAGGCCATCCTGTCCCGGCACGTCGGCGAGCCGTCCGGCCGGAGCCCATCGCACAGCGTCCCGGAGCACCGCCTCCGAGGCTGCTGGCGCTTTTAGGGGGGCTTTTATGCTCTCTCCCCAACTATGAGGGTGACCCTGAACCCAACGGCTTCCCGGGAGAGGGGGACCAAGAGAGCTCGGGGGAGGACAGAAACTGAGAAAGCTGGGGAACGGCGAAGGAGGCGATGAATTTAAGAATAGGAAAAGTCCCAAGATAGCAGATCGGATCCAGCGTAGGATCGTACCGATTCTTCCCCCCCACCCCTATGAAACGGACAAAAAGGACCACTCAATTGCATCAGCGCCCTCTCACCTCCCCACCGCCTCCCCGCCCCGGCAAAACCCAAACACTAATCAAAAATTAAATCCACCAGAAGCTCTGAGAGACTACCGTACTCCGCGGGTGGGGGCGAGAAACAAAAATAAATACGGGGACAGACGGGCGATGGAGCGCGGAAGGAGGAGGAGGAGGCGGCCCCGCATCCCTAATGAGGGAATGAATGGAGAGGCCCCCCTCGGCTGGCGCCCGCCCACCCGGCGGCGGCCGCCAAGTGCCTCTGGGCGCAGCGTGCCGCGCCCGCCGCTCCTCGCGCAGCCGGCTCGGGCCGCTCCTCCCGGTTCAGGCGCGGCGGCGGCGGCGACCGCGCGGGACTCTGAGTCTGGGCTGGCGCGCCGGGGGCGCGGGGGCGCCGCCGCGCTGGGCCCCGGGCGCGTGGCTGCGGCTCGGCCGGGCGGCGCCGCTCACCTGAGGCGGGGCGTGGGGGCGCGGCGCGGGCGGTGCTGTCAGGGCCGCGGCTCCCTGCTCCCGGCTGCGCTCGGCGGGACGAGCCAGGCAGTGATTTGCGGCGCCGCTTCGCCTTCGGCCATGGCCCGGAGAGCCTAGCGGGGCCCGGACACCGCCCCCCCCCCCCGCCCCTCTCCGGCTCCCGCCCCGCCTCCCAGCCTCGGCGTCGCGTCCCGCCGGCCTCGCCGCCCGGCCCGCGCCGGGCAACCGCCCTCGCCCGGAGCCCTCCCTCGGCCCGGCCCGCGTCCCCCCGGCGGCGCCGCCGCGGGAAGCGGCTCCCCCTCCTCTTCCTCCGCGTCCTCTGTCCCCCCCGTTCCCCCGCCGCGGCCGCTTGTTGCACCTCCCGCGGCCTGCGGGAGCCGCTCTCCGCGGCCCGGCCCCGGCTTCGCGCGAAGCGGCCGCAACCCCTGCCTCTCGCCCTCGGGGCCCGCAGCAAGCCCGGGCCTTGCCCGGCCCGCGAGACCCCGGCCCGACCCCGCCGCCCGCACAAAATGTCGGCCCGGACGCCATTGCCGACGGTGAACGAGCGGGACACGGAGAACGTGAGTAGCTGGAGCCTCCCTGGCAGCGGTGGGGCCGGACGCTGCCCCCCGACCGCCGCTTCACCTTCCGCGTGGGCCGCCCGGGGTCCCCAGGGCGACCCCCCGCCGCAGGGTCTCCACCCGGAGCCCGGCGTGACCCTCGCCCCCCGGCTCAGCCCCTGTCCTCCTTTCCAGCCCCATTTCGCTGCTTTCCTCTGAAGGGTGAGGGTTGGGGGGCGCCGTCGGTGGCGCCCTCCCCCCGGAGGTGTCCTCCGGGAGAAGGATGGGGGTGATGGAGGGCAGAGAGGCACAAGGAGATGGCAGAGTGGGCATCCCGGAGGTTTTTATTTCCACTCGGCATTCTGTATTCCCCACCCGAATGTTTGCTCTCTGATCACAGACGAGCCGGCCGACTGCCTCTTCTTCCCCTTGCTTTTCTGGCTCTTTCGGTCCTTTGCACCCCACCCCCCTGCATTGCCCCATGACTTTGCTTTTTATCACATTAGGTCCACAGTTGGGTCTTGGGCACCAGAGGGGGACGATCGGGAATGGAAGGGACGAGAAGACGAGTAGAGACGGGTGTGTGTGTGTGTTGGGGTGTGAGTTTATACTGCTGTGTGATACTCTTCCATAGAAATGAGTGGAAGAATATCATCACCTGCTTCTGTGGTCCCAGGGTGACAGCAAAATGTTTAAAAGCCCAGTGAAGTCAACGGCTTTTGCTTCTCTTCCTCAAGTCAGTGGTAATAATTCAGGGCAGGTTTTACTTTAAATACCTCTCCTCCTCCACGGTGTCACAAGGTGCATTTCTTTGAAGGAAGGATTTTCTGTGCCTTTGATCAAATTGCCCTCAGGAGTTTTCATCTCGCTGCCGGTGTCCCCGGTGTTTAAACTTCTGAAAACCGAAAGAGCCAAATCAGTTGTATTTCCATGTTCTGAAAAGTACAATTGTGTGTGAATGCATCAGTTCCTTTGTGGCAAAGTGTTAAAAAAATTTTTTTTTATTTATTATTATTTTTTAAGTCCTCATGACCTGTAAAGAGGGCCTTGGCTGATTTTTCTGACCGGTTTTGAGTACCCCTTAGAGGGGTACTGAGTTTTGGTCTGCTGTCCAATCTTTGTCAAGTCAACTCCTTGACTCTCCAGCTGTTGGTTGGAGAGTCTTCCTAGGGTTGGTAAAATAAAATAATGAAGGGCTTTGGCATTCTTAGACAAAAGATACAAGAGAGAAGACATACAAACCCACCGCCAAAGTGTTGGAGGGAGGTATATAAAGTTTATTTAATCTTGGAGCATAGAGGAACATAGAAACTTGATAGAAGGGAGACGAAATTCTGGTAAGAGACTGTCTAAAGGTCCAAGAAATTTCAGAGTATGCTTATGTGCTGTTTAGTGTCCTGCATTTCACGTGGTAAAAATACAGTGCAAGGCTGCTGACAGCATAAATTATAACTTAGTTTACAACATAACTGTTTTTTAAAAGCCTGTTTTTAAAAATATAATTGATAGATAATTTTGGTTGAGAGATTGAAGATGATGACGGGAAAAGACGCAAAATTGGGTTAAAGCTGATTTTAAAGCCAAGGTGGTACAGAATTTTCCTAATAAAAAATCTTCAAAAAACGGTGTCATTCAGTATGAATGAAAAGTAGGCAAATGATGACCTTTGCTTTTATGAGCAAAACACTGCGTTTTTAACCTAAGAAAGGTGGAAAAATACATTGTTCTTATTTTCTTTTGGATTGTGAGTAGTACTGCATTTTCCACTGTCTGATGTCTGCTTTATACAGACATGAGATAGCATTATACAAATATCTATCAGGGCATAGTACAAAATGCAGCATCACATGGAAACCAGGAAGAAAGGGGGAGTTCAGTTAAGCAATAGCAGTGTACTACATTTTGCTTCTGAAAATGAATATGCTATGTAAACTCATGTGCTCTGTTTCTGGACATGGTTTTTTAAGTTGCTTTTATGATCTTGTCCCTTGTTGTTGGTTCTGTCGTGCATAACTATACTCTCTTAGGCTGTCTTTACCCACATCCTGATATTCTCCTGATTGCCATGAAAAGTATCTGTTGTACTATAGCTGTTAATTTATCAGCAGGTATGCACTCAGTTCTGTTTTTGATCTACAAGGGATGCCGAGGTAGTATTAACATTTAAGACAAGGCCTCTCCCCTCAAGGAACTTAAGAAGGAAGGTAAATAGAGTCCCAAAGAAATAGTGTACAGTAGAAAGCTATGTATAAATATGGCTGAATTGTTTTATAGGTGCTGTAGGTTTTTAATTAGAGGGATCATCAGTGATGGCTATTGAATCACCATTCGTATGTCTATTCTCTGGTTGGTAGTAAATGTCATTACTCATTCTTGCTTACTTCTCATCAGTGAGATAAAGCAACAAATCTACTTGTTAGCTAATATACAAAGACCAGTATGGTAATCAAAATGAACATTTGTTTGTAGCTGTTTTCAGTGAAATTGACATTAAAAAAAAATGATTGTGAAATATTTACATTCGCTTGACTGTCAAATGCTGGTAAGCCTTTTGGAATATTAAGGATATAACTAAACACCTTTTATGATTGCTAAAAATGATTTAAACAAAATAAAGAACCTTTGAATTTTACTGTTATTTGCACTTGTTATAAACATTTTAGTGACACATCAATGGATTTGGTATCTTTGGGAATATGTAGTATCTACTCTTCACTAATATATATTGAGGGTATATAAGTAAACATTAATATTATATATAAAACAATTCAGAAGACTGATGTTACAGCACTGTAACATTAGTAGTAAATATTCTCCTCTTTACTACTAGTGTATAGTAGAATGAGAAAGAATTGCTTTTCTTTGAGAACATTCTGTGTGTTTTTTCAGAAGTATTTTCTTAGATGAAGTGTTTGTGTGTGCATTGTTAATAGGCCTCAAATGGCTAAATACAATAGAATAACCAATGATCAACTTTAAAGGCAATGAATACTTCCTAGTGAGGTAGAAAACATATGTTGAGTATCGTAGAATTAATTTATGCAAAATGTGTTTGATTTTAGGTTGTAAATAAGTCCAGAAAGAGAATGGTTATTTGAATGGATATTTCCTTATTTTACCTCTGTTAGATTATACTTGGATAATTCCAGCATGGATATAGAGAATATATTGCCATTACCCTTTTGTGCTTGTAAATAAAATTAAGGTTTTTTTCATGTTTTAGGAAATAATTTTTCTACACAAATTTCCTAAACAATTTTCCTGGTTTTAGGAAACAATTTTTTCTCATGTTTTAGGAAAACTAATTTTGCTAATTACTATGTTTCCAAAGTGTCCCAGCTAGCTTTCTGTGGTGACATTTTGATCAGTACAAAGGAAATTGACTTGATTTCTTGTTGGGATCTTGTAAAATGGACTTTGGATAAATTTGTCTTGAAATTTTTAATGACAAAACTCTTGATGATGATTCTTTTCAAAAATCCGAAATTCATTATGGTGACCATAATGGTACTACTAAGGTGGACGTCAATAGTTTGCCTCATGGGAACAATTGTTAATTATGTGAAAAGGCAGGAGAGAAGTATGCTTTTGCCACTACTGTTGGGTTTTATCAGTACCCTGTGCGTACATCACGTGTCATGGGACCTATCACATTGCCTTCTAATTGCTAATTTACTTTGTCTCCTTTGTTCTGTACCGCCAGTGCCAGCACAATGACTGGCAGTAATATATAAGAGAGCCGTCGTATAATATTCCCCGTTTGAATTTTTTCCTTTGTCATCAAAATATATTAGTAACACTGGGAAGGGAACATACTACAAAGCCGAGAGTGCAGTGACCTGCCCAAGGTCATAACCAGTCTTCTACCGTTCCTGCGCTCATGCTATTGCTTCTTCAGGTTTTTGTTTTGTTTCTATCTCAGAGATTTTAAAAGAACATTCATGATGATATGAGATAATTGGAGGAAGAACAGGGTCTGCCATGCTCATCTGATTCCTGAACCTTTGCTCAAAGAAACCTTTGTTGTTTTCCCCTTGTCCCAAACTTTCTTTAAGAAGACTTTTGAAATGATTGTAGCCAACATTACTGTCTGCTGTAACTGAACATGTGTATGTATAGTCCATACCATTGGTTTCCAGAGTGGGTATGCAGGACCATCCATCGTGAGAAAAAAATGTCTTTGCCTTCTATCATCTTCCTTCTGACCTCAATGCTATTATTAACTCTCCTCCTCTTCTCCCTCCCCTCCTCCTCTAAATCTTAGGTGGTTTAGAATCAGCCACATATTTTAAAATTACTCTTCTTTTGCCATTTCTTTTCCGTCTCAGGTTTTCCTTTGGAGGTCATTTTCCCTTTTGTTTATAGATATCTTTTGGTGATAATTGTCATAAACTTTTTTTTTTAATATAAAAATATATTTTGCCCATTTCTTGAAAGGTAGCCTTGCTCAGTCTCCAATTCTGAGTTGCTTTTCCATTGTCTTCTTATTACCATTGCTTCTGTTCAGAAATCATCTGCCAGTATGTTGGTGTCTTTTCTCTCTCCCTCTTTTTTTAAGATTCTCTCTTTTTCTTAAGTGTCATACTTTCACTATGGTGTATTTAAGTACAGATTTCTTTTCTTCCTGTTTGCATCTCCTGTCTTTGAATTCCTATTTTTTTAATTAAAAGCTAGGATACTTACCAACTATTATTTTTTTGAACAAGGCCTTGCTTCTGGTCTCTTTAGAATTTTGTTTTGGTATTCTGATTAGATTATGTTGGACCTTAACTCTTCCATGTCTTAACTTCTTTTTATTTTTTAAATTGAAATACGGTTGATTTATAATATTGTGTTAGATTCAGGTGTATACCAAAGTGATTCAGTTATATATATATGTGCATAGATGACACATACACATATATATTTTCCAGATTCTTTTACATGGTAGGTTACTACAAGATATTGAATACAGTTTCCTGTGCTATACAGTAAGTCCTTGTTTGTCTGTTTTGTATATAGTAGTATGTATCTGTTAGTCC